TTATGAATATTGAATGAGTGCAATTTGTATTGTGAAATACTGCTTTCTGTCCGAGGTCTGCCGGTATGATAAAAACAGTGCCTCATACTACTGTTTCACCTCAGATGTGATGTATAAATGGTATAAAAGGTTGGTTTACACGCACCCAGATTTGTTGACAAGATTTTGCAAAGTAAACTTGTCGAACGCAAAAAAGTTGGCCTGATTTTTTTTTCCACTAATTAATCTACGGTGATCAAGAGCCATTATGGCTCTTAAATGTGATCGAAGATGATTACCAGTTTTTGGGTGTACATATGAGGCTATCAACTCGATGTAAGATTTGGTTCACTCTTGGGCTGTTTGCAAATTATTTTTCTCTAAAATCAGGTAGCCTTTCCCTCAAAAGTCACATAAATGTGCTCTAAAGTTAACTGAATTATGGAATTCGAATACAAGTTTATTGTTTAATTTAAATTATAAATTTATTAATGGGAGCCTCGCTTTTAGCCCTGGCTAAATCTATATATTATGCTTTATACCTGCTGTATGTAACTCCCAGTTGTCATGTTACAAAACGTGACGATCACAAAAAAATAATCTGATAACCCTTTCAGATGAAATATGAGACTGCATGGTTTTATTGTCTTCCTAGTCGGGAGCTGATGAGGTTAAAGAAAGGTTTAATCAAGATTTGGAGGGATCTCGCAAAACACAAAACAAAACAAATAAAAAAACAAGCCCAACAACAAAACAAAACGTCTGTGCACACGAAGGAATTCAGTATTAATGATGGGACTGCGGCGATGGGCAAATGCCAAAAGTACATTTTTGTCCGCTAACGTCCTGGAAGTACATTATAAAACAAAGCATTTTCTTATTTATACGGAAATCGTTGGTAGGCCAGATTTCTTATAATTTGGCTAGTCAGTACCAATACAAATCTGGCCCAAATAGTGACGTTTTAGCTAATCTTTATCGAGAGTTTTAACTTTTACCGGACTGTCCGTATAGCCGGATAGTCGATGTTCTCACACCCTCAAATTCTACCTCTTTCTTTAACAAGCCTGCTTTCATTGTCCTGTAAAATACCGCTGAAAGATTCTAAAACTACATGTGTGCGCTAAGTAAGCTCGTCTTTAACATTCTGACTAGCTGAAAGGACTAGATTTCATGTTACTTTGCTAGAGGCGACTGACACAAGTCCTCCCTGCGCCGACTTTGGTGTTTGTGCTATAGTGAAGTCTTGACTAATTTACAGTCGAACCCCGCTATTTCGAACTCGGTTAATTCGAAGTCCCCGCTATTTCGAAGGAAGATCGAATTCCCTTGGATTTACCCTTATGTTTTCAGTCATTTACTATCAGCTATTTCAAACTCGGTTATTTCCAATTCCCCGCTATTTCGAACTCATCGTTCTTTCCCTACACCTTAAATCAACCCCGTTATTTCGAACTTGTCAAAAACAGAGTACGTACATAAGAGCACAGTGCTGGAAACGTATTGCATTTTATTTTAAGCTCGTGTTACGAAATTAATGACTTAACAATGCCTGACTCACGTGCAGTGTCCCGCTAAGAAATTCCAGCTGTGTTATTCAATTACGAAACAAAACACACTGTTATTGAACTGTTCTTCCGGCTGAAATACTCATGTATGAACTCTGCTGTCTCTATTCTGAGCATTCGACATTGTATTTTTATTTAATCAGTGTCTTTCTTCATACTGTACTGTATTTTATTAAAAAATGATTCATTGTTATGAATTTTACGCTTCCCCGGTTATTTCGAAACCCCGCTATTTCGAACTTTTTTCCATTTCCCTTGGGACTTCGAAATAGAGGAGTTCGACTGTATTATGAAGAGCCTCTAATTTCGTCAGTTATTTTGGACTTATTATTCTTTTTGTCAGGATTCTACTGTCGTTATTAAGCTTAAAATACGTTTTATTCCTGGCAAAGCGCTGCTAGGCATCAAAAACAAATCGCCAAAAAATTTCCTGTACAGCAAAACGAAAAATAGAAAAAAAATAAGTGACGTTTCACTAATTATGCTAAAGCAGGAATAGCTTTTAAAAATGTCAAATGTTCCTAAATGGAAATCTATGGATCCCTTGCATCGACATTAGAAAAAACTCTCTGGCCAACTATGAACGTTAACTAGCCTATTCCAGGCGTAGTGGACAGTGGATAGTGGATAATGGATAGTGGACAGTGGCGCAAAAAAGGGAAAGGAGGAAAACAAACGTGGAAGAAAGTAAGAGGAAGAAAGGAGGAGGACCTTTCGCCCTCTCTCCCTAACCCCGCCCCTTCGACATTTTTTTTAGCTCATTTTTCTTTGCTTTTTCCCAACTATCTGAAGGCCTGTTACAAGTTAACTACGTCCTTCATTTCCAACTTTTTACGGTATATATTCAACCTTAGCGTCGAGCACTTTTGGCGCTTTGTTATTGATCAGCAGGAACGGATTTGGTAGTACTAACTTTTCAACTGCTTTTAGACGGCGAAACTGTCATTTTTTTCTTTCTTGTTTTCTTTCTTTTATTTTTTCTTTGTCAGTTTTTATCGTATTTTTAGAAGTATTTTCGCTTGGCTCTCCGCAGTCTCACTCACTCTCCTCCCCTCTCCCGCCCCCCATCTGCTCCAGACAAGAGAGAACGACCATTTTGTTTTTCTCCAGACCACTCGTTCGACTATTCCGCTTTCTTGGCTTACGTAAAAAGTACGGGCTGCTTTGTCGTCTGAAACACTTTGCACTGATTGACACGCTGGGAAAAAAAGTGCTAAAAATCGGCCACAAAATGTGTCCAAAGTTTGTTTAAAAATATGCGTGGAATGTCACAAATATCTCTTAAACTATAGAAGATAATGAGTTGAGACTTTCACTTTCTATTTGTCTTAAGTTTTTCTTTCAAATTCTACATTTTTTGGGTTAGTACTGCGCATGACCAAAAAGTCTATTTTGTGACGTCATCAGTTGTGACGTCACAAAAATGAAATTTGAGATTCCAAATCGGACAAGTTCTTTAATTTTATGTGCACTATATTTGTGCAAAGTATCACACTTTCAGGTTTAATTCTCTTGGAGGAGAAGTCTTTGGGAGTTTTGATTTTTTAATTGGCCACTAGAGGGTCACGTGACTCTCTACCAACAAAACGCCTATTCCAAAATTTTCCTGGAGTGAAGTATTGTTGCCTGTATTAATTTCAGTGTCATGCCCTTAAAGGAAAGAAAGTTATAGCCCCAAGAACTCCAAAAATGTTTTGTGCCTATCACGCCCCCACTCAATCTTTTGGCCGATTTTTACCACTTTTTTTCCCAGCGTGTGACGTTTTAGTGTCATGGAAACTCTAGCTGTAATACTGAACTGCAGATGACAGCTTAAAAGACTGAAAGTTCCTTTCAATAGCGAAAAAAATATATATAAAAATTGGGAAACAAAATAGAGTATAATACTATTAAAAAACCAGAGAAGAATCTTGTAACGAACGAATGGCAACACCTAAAAAGGAAATACAGAGTTGGGGACTTTCCCCATCCTCCGTAGCCTTAGTCCATGAAACTTAGACGCCCAAGAAGGCCTCCAAAACCTTACCTTTGTCTTTGTCACAAAACCGAATAAGACTGAGAGCCTTAGTCTGCTTTACGTAAGGACCGTGTAGATCTCTAGAAGAATTGTTTGCAGCCAGCCGTCAAAACCCCAAGAGACATCGCCTGCTGCTGGTCATCAGTATATAGGAAGGCTAATACAAAGAACCGCTCCAGGAAAACTATTTTCCTTAAAATTTGTCTGGGGTAGAGGAATAGCGAGTTTTCTGTTGGTGTCTCCTAATAAGTAATTAGAGATATTGCAACGGTCTGCCATTGCTACGATCTACTATGCACTTAACAAGGCCCCTCAAGGTTCTTAAGATATACTTGTACGACGCATAGTCTGCGATACACCCACCTCTCACCGCTCTTTGACGAAATGTCCCTAGCGGCAGATAGCGATGAGAGGAAGCTGTATCGCAGGCTTTTGGACACAAGGCTTTTCTACTATTTACATGGGTAAACCGGTAGCTTCGCAGTTTTGGCTAATGGTGAGCAGAATTCAGGACTGATTAATTTTGATTCCGTTCGATAATAGCGTTTACCATTTGCCTAAGTCAATTTCGTTTAATGAAAAACGGCCGCGAAAATCTGAAACTGATATTCAAAAAAGGTTTGCCGAAATCCGAAATTTCCGCCTGGAAGTTTCCAACCAGGAAAATAGTCGAATGCCTTTTCAGACGTTCCGTTTGTTTCAGGAATTTTCCACTGAAACGTCGAAAGCAACCTGAAACTGAGTTGATGGTAAACCTGTCAAAGCGACAAAGTGTCCTCTTAGTTTGTTTTAATGGGTCATATATAAAGCCATGCGGTAGCTTCATGATTCATACACGTTGTCATACAAGTATATAGGCTTCTCTTTGGCATCCCATAACTTTTTTTCAGTTTTGAGACGCCCGCAAGGGTAAAAACTTCGAAAAGAACTATTGCACCAATACTTAGTCGAAAATATGTAATTGCTTCAAGGAAATTAGTTTTATAAAACAAATGGCATTGATTGGCGATGATTTAATTCGTAAATATCTCTCAATGCAAAAATTCATTCAGTAATCACCTTAAGTTTTTAGATTTTGTTCTGTTTATATACAATACAATACAATACAATACAATACAATACAATACAATACAATACAATACAAATCAGTCTTGTCAACTCTCCATGGGGGCTTTTCGGAGACAAGTATTAATAGTACAGGTAATCAAAAATAAAAAATAAATAAATAAATAAATAAAAAAGTATCACAAGTTGATTATCAATAAACTATTAAGAAACTATTTACATATAAATTTATGACATTAAAAATTGATTTGAAAGGAAGGCTTTCATTTTACGTTTAAAAATGATAAGAGATTAGTTCTGTAATAAAAAGATCTCTGTACCATTTTTTGAGGGAAATCCCCAGTCTGAAACTGAATATGAAAGTGTGTTAAGCTATCCCAGGGACCCTATATGTTGTATTTGAAGAAAATGCTGCAGTTAGTGAGAATGATAGGTTTACCGAAAGATTTGATTTCGAATTGGCTTCTAATCTGCCTTTAAGTAAATTGTTTAAGGCTTATCTATCGGTAACACTGGCGTGACGGGCCGTGTAACCACTGGAATGTCGCGATTTTTCGCAAAATTAGGGTTGACCGGGACGTCTTGCGGGCTACTTAAAATCGTTTGCCCAGAGATTTCAGTTTCGATTTTCCAATAGATTGGGCCCTAGTTAAGCAGCAGAAAGTCAATTTGCGACATTCTAGTGCATTGTAAAAATTTGCATTATTTTAACCCTATAATTTTGAACGGTAGAAATTGTCAATAGGGGCCTATTTTTAACAATACCTTTTGGGCCACAAATGTATTACAGCTTTCACAAATTTATCACTTTACAAGAAAGAAAGGGTCATAAAAACTATTCGTGTTCTTCAAAGGCTGCCAAATCGTTGTGGTTTGACGTACGAGTCAATGGAATTTGTGTAAAATTTTGCTTCACCGGAAGTGGATTTTGAGCTATGAACGGGCAAAATGCGTTTTCTCGAATTTTAACAAAAGAACACGTTATTTGGGAAAACTAACTACAGCATGTTTCATTACTCATTAAGTGTTATCAATGAGCCAAAAATGAGCGAAATCAAATTTTGAACTTGTGCTGACCGTGGGTCGATATTAATGGAAAGCCGCTCTTAAAAACACAAGTGGATCCTTGATATGAAAGTTTGTCCATTTTCTTAAAAACATTGGCCGTGCCGATTGTAACATTCCATGCTGGAATTCAATATCAGTGAAATTCAATGGTAATTGGCCCTTTGCAGCTCGACATTCACTGAAAGAAGACAAACAAACCAAAAATTACCATTTTAAATTAGGCTGCCGACCATTTAACTCTTGAGTCGGGGGGGCGGGGGGGAGAGGGGAGTGGGTGATTTTGAAAAAAAATTGCATGCAGCACAATGTAATAGAAAACTTATGGGAAAAAAAGGGAAAAAAAATATCCTGCCCACCAGATTGCTGGAAAAAAAAAATTCGTGATGACCAGAAATCACTCCCCGGTCGGCCTTTTATGTCAGCTCATTGTTTGTCTTGTCCCAGTGGGTTCCTTACTCTCCATCATGGCGGTTTTGTAACACGTGAATGACTATCCTCAAAGTGCCTATTCAATTTCAGTTGAATTTCGATTCAATGGTTGTCTTTACACTAGGCTGTTAAGTACTTAATTACTTAGCCAAAAATGCTTGTGTGAAGACCTAAGTAAAATCTCAAGTAACTTTACTTTTCATCTCATTAAAGTGGGAAAGTTGAAAAGATTCAAGAAAGTTTCAAGTCACTTGAAAACCATCCTTAAAACCGACTTAGCGAACTTGCGGTTTCTAAGCCTTGAGAAAGGCGAAGCATGTCAGTCAATCTTAACTATGTTGCGTGGGAAAATAGGCTCAAGGAAACCTGAAGCAAAAAAATAGGTTGTGTGGGAAGCTTTCTTTTACTTGAAGAATTTCAAATTTACTTGTCTTGAAATATTTCTTAGGTTATTTAGACTCTAGTGTAAAGACAACCAATATTATGGGAATTCACACTTTGAACTTGATGTACGGGAATAAAACAAAAGAAAACATCTTAAAGCTTGGGGGTGAAAAACTGATACGATTCTTAATTAATTCTTCAATCATGATAGCGTCAAAATCAAAGAGCTGTTATGTCCTCTCCCTCATTTAGTGTTCATTCAGGATCGGTTCATTGAATTTAAATTGATTAGAAATTTTATACTACCACATGAGAAATTTCTCCAATTTGATTGGCTTAGAACAGTGGTATTTCCGCTTAATTGGAAATACCTACATTTGAAAATTACAGACTGTTTGTGGGTAGTGGTATAAACAAATAATTGTATGATTTGTAGTGATATTTGGCATAAATACCACTCATGATATTTCAAAATTGTCTCAAATTTCACTCGCCTAACGGCTCGTGAAATTACGTATAACAATTTCGAAATATCACTCGTGGTATTTATGCCAAATATCGCGACAAATCATGCTATTACCTATACAAATTTCTATTGAATTAATGCAAATTTCAAGAATCAGTATTTAAGCATTGTCTTTTACTTCTCTTGGAACCACTACAATNGGCTCTTCCTCTTTCTCCTCAGGCAGAATTGTTGTTTTTTTAAAAAACAGATAAAATAAGCTCTCTAATTTTTTTATTTGTATACAATATTTTTCCCCTTTTTTTTTTTCCTTTTTTGGGGAAGTTTTTTTTTTTTTTTTATAAACCCCCCCCGCCCAACTTTAGAGCGCGGGGGGGGGGGGGGGGGGGGGGGGACTGCGCATATGAAAGAGGTGGGGATGCTCGTCGTCTCGCTTAGGAGTGTAAATTTCGGATTTTGGTCTCACGTAGGGTGTTCTGGGCAAAACGCCATCATATTTAGCCGTGAGGGTCTCTTTTAGGGTTGCACGTGAAAAAATATAAAAAAAATATTTAAATTGTCTATCTGTGTTTTAACATGGTCTCTTTCACGGGTCAAAAAAAGCTTGGGCCACGTCCAGATCGGTCTCCTTTAGAGGTTCAATTCAAAATTTCCGACGAGCATCCCCACCCCTTTTATATGCGGAGTCCCCCCCGGGATTATAGACTCTTCCACGGTTGTTTTAACTTTTGACTGGGAACAGTCAGTGAAAATTCGTCGACATGACTGAAAAGAACGCCTTTAAATCAGTAAAAGTTGCTAAGTTTGAAAGTGATTCGTTGAAAGCTAACGACTACTGGGGAGCTTTGCAAATTCACCGAACCATGCAGACGTTTACATGGTTAGAGGCGAGTTGGTGACTGCAACATACTAATGTTTGTAAAATTTCGCTGGACGTTGTGGAGTAATACCTTCGCTTACTTTGGACTTTTCACCTTAAAACTTGGTAGGTTTCCTCATTTTAAGGCGCTATTTCCAGCAATTGATGGATACTCGCCTTGACTGGTCTTTAAAATACCGTTATCGGAGAAAGGGGCTATATTTATAGTAAATTCTTAAATAACTATACAGTCTTCCTCACGTTGAAAATCATTTAAGATACCGCTAACACAGAAAAAAAATGAGAAGAGTGCGTTAGATCGAGTTTATAAACGTGTTTTTTGTTTAATTTTGTGCCGCTTTCTCTTGCACAGGAACAAGAACCCTTTTATCCGCTCTTGGCCTGCGGTAACTGCGGGAAACCAGCTCATACTTATTTGCATCTTAATTAAAAATAACCAAAAAATAACAATACAGCACATTTGTTATACGCCGTATTCTTTTGAGCACTGAATTAATTTTCCGCAATCTCGCATCTCTCTCTCTCTCTATGTTTCGTTTCCTTTGTTGTATATGTCATGCTATAAGTAAACTTGCGTCATCATTGTTTTTCCTTATTTTTTTTCTGTTTTAGTATCCAACAAACCCATCTGCTCATATCGAAGCTGCCGATGAGGATGAGTTTCGCTATCAACCCAAAACAGGTACTTCAAGTTCCTTGCTCCCATATTTGCATTTAATTTATTTTGTTGAGCCAGAACTTTGAAAGAAACTAAAATACACCTACAAAGTTAACGATTTTTTAAAACACGTCAATAGGGAAAAATTCTTTGAGAAAAAGTATAAAATGAACGATTACTTCTACTGTATCGTTGTAGGGTAACAATTTGTCATGCAATCTCATTATTAATCTCAGAAAATCGTGCTAGGATATCGTGGGGTATTCGGTAGGGTTCAACCTCAAGCCCTGGGGACGAGGTTGGGTAGGTAGGGATAAAAGTAAAGTTTTGAAAACTCTTGGAGAGTGATCACCTATATATGATCTCTTAAATCACATACGCCTGTTTATACCTTGCTTCATAGTGATCAAGGACTGGTCTGTCAACGCTCCCTACAGCTACCTTGGATGCGGCATGAAGTATCAAGACGGAAAATTGACGGTGCCTACCCCCGGACGGTACTATATCTACGCTCAACTTTACTTCCGCAACAATGGACGAGTCTTTATCAGAGTTAACTACAAAGTCGTGACGATGGTTCAACCACCCGTAAATGATAAAGACTTCCATGGTACCGTGCACGCTGGTGGGGTTTTCAACCTGAACGCTAATGACGTCATCACGTTGACTGCTCACTGTTATCCTGATGAAAAAGGACCTATAATTTACATGGCTCCCAGACACAGTTACTTTGGCGCATTTTTGATTTAATAATCTTGCTGTTAGCGTTAACGTTTGACGAAAAATTGGCCTTGTCTTCAAGGGATAACTTAGAAATCAGTCCATAAATTAAGGGATGCTACTAGCTGACTAATTGACCACTTCAGAAAATACCATAACATACCATAATGCTCTTTGTTTGTCATCCCAAAATTTTGCATTTTAACTCCCAAGAGAAAGTGAAGACAATGCTGTCGCAAAATTTTGGGGTGACAAACAAAGAGCACTATGGTATGTTATGGTATTTCTGGAGTGGTCGATTGAGTTACACTGTTTTGTAGGAGTCGTAAATTTTGGTCTAATGGTACCTCATTATAGATAACCGTAGTGTCAACCAGGTTTGACGTTTAATTAAAAGAGGATACTGCAAGAAATGTGTTGATTTATTTTCTCGCTGAATTTTTTCAAGTGATGTGAAGGTTTTAAAAACACTTATACAGCGCACATACATCAGTTAAGTTCGAGAACAAGAAAATCATATCTTAACTTTTTTGTTTCAGATGGAATTGTTAATTTGTAACAACTGAATTGCAACACACGTACATTTCCAAAAATATTTCAAGCTTATCAAAATAAATTACTTACACCTTCCTACGCTTATCTTTCCCGAAAGGTTGCTTCCGAGTAGGAGTTTAAAAAACGTTTAAAAATTGAACTGAAAAAATCCATCAGTCTGCTCAGTAAAAGTCAGTTTCAGCTAACGCTTGTAGCTATTCCAAGGCCTTTTTAATGTAAAAGGTTGACATTTTTCTCGTAACAGTTGGTGACAAATCATTATCATAGCCTCTCATCCCCAGGTGGCAGTTTTTTTTGTTGTTACAACTATTGCAAGAGAGGATAAAGAGGGTTTTACAGGGTTAGTAAAGGAAGATGGGCCAGTCGGGCCTTAGCTCCCTCCCTTGGAGGCTAGCTACCTACGATGCAAAAACCTTTAAATTTATTCCACGTTTTTAATGGTCAGTAAGGTCAAATCGATAGAAACATACGTTGTGCTCCGTCGAGTTCACAAAAACATATAAAAAAGAAGTCCCTGAAGTATCTCATAAACATTACACTCTATCAAGAGCCATAATCCTATTATGGCTCTTGACTCTATTTACCATGCTTTAGTTTTTGAACGGTTTGATATTTACGCTTAAACGCCGTTGCCGTGGATGCTAAAATCAATCTTAAAACGTTGTCACGTTTTTACCTTTTTAATTAAACCTTCAAATCAATTATTAGGCTCAGCGATAGTGATTTAGCACTTAACTTTGAGAAAACAAGGAAGAAGTCGTATTCAGTCACGTGTTATCCACTAAATACTCCTCTTTCTTAGTTAGGTGTCTAGAATGTCAGAAGGTATTAAGAAATTGGAGTCAAAATAATGGAAATTAAGGTCGCGGAAATTAACGTTACACTTAATTAACGGCGCAGAAATTAACGCGCCTGAAATTGAGTCGAACTTTGGAGATTCGCGTTAATTTCATGAAGCGTTTATTTCCTATAATGAGGTTTATAGCGGAGCTCAACGCGCACGCGAGCGTAGCCTCATACCTAACAAAATATGACAATCTATATATCCGAGAAATTTTGGTAATCACGTGACCTTACGCCCAACCGCCCGTCCGTAAGAACCACAGGCATACCAATGTAAAATAACTCAATCAACAAATATGGCAAATGGCAAACCCAAATGCAACTCGAGGTTATTTTTGCGGGAAATCGCTTAGCCACTTGCGTCTTGTGAAGCAGAGACAAATCAATAAAGACGAAAACGGAAAGCGGAAATCGTTTCTGTGTCTGTGTTGTCCAATGTAGTAAGTTTAGTATAATTGTCATGTTCACAAATTTGGAATATAGAGAAAGAGAAAGTAGGCGCCAGGCCACCGAAGATCAACTAGAAAAAAGGCGACAGACAGCTAGAGCGAGAGATAAAAAATGAAGACATTTTTTTGTTGGAAGAACGACATGAAAATTTTGTAGCGGCGGTGAGAAAATGAGAAATGCTAGCGGCCACGAAGGTGAAAATAAGCGGCAGTGAAAAAAAAGTGAACAAGGACACGTACGACATTTCCTCCTCAAAACGTGTAAGTAGAAAGTTTCTGGAAGTTTCACGTTGTGGCCGTACAAAACAACGGCAAAGAAATGTACAAAAAAAGTGTGCTGCACGTGCAAAGTTGCTTTTTTGCTAATTAGACCTACAGTCGACTCTCTCTTAACCGACACCTCAATAAGACGGACACCTCTGTAAAACGGACACCTAGAGTTGGTGTCTGCCTTTCTTTACTCCCTTTATTTGACTCTTTATAAGACGGGCACCTTTCTAAGACGGACACTTAGTAGCAGTCCCAAAGGTGTCCGTCTTGGAGAGAGTTGAATTGTTGTTTTTTCACCGTTTTCGTTGCCTTAGCCGCTCAGCATTACGCGATTTTATATTTTGTTTCGGCAAACTATAAATCCCCGAGAGGTTCGCTTTTAGCCCTGGCTAAATCTTTTTGGTAAAATCCAACTAGCGGTCTTTTATCAATGCTGCGTTCTGATTGGTTGAGCTACTTCTAGGCTATATGTTATAGCCCACTAGTAGCGAAAGCGCCGGCTTTTTGGCGGCAAGAAAATGATTAAAGTCGAGCTTTAACCAGCTAAAGTTGTTTTGTCTCGATATTTTTGACCAGCTAGTTGGATTTTACTAAAACAATTATTCCTCTCGCCCTCATGGCCTCTGAGTCGATAGCCCATTCGGCCTTCGGCCTCATGGGCTATTGAGAGGGTCTCAATGGGGTGGTGGCTTTTACGGTTATCGGCTAAAATTTTGGCTAACGAAAAAGTTAAAAATTAACTTGTTTTATTTCAAAAAGTTAAGTATTAATTAACCTGTATTTTTTGTATCTTTAAATCAAAATAAAGGTCTTCGGATCATCTCGGGACGAAATATACTATTCTTTTGAAAAATTTTAACATTTGATAGATCATACTTTTTCCACTTCTAATATTATTTTACATATAGAAATGTCAATAGTCAATTTAAAAATAATCTTTGTGAAAAAGCAAAAGCAGACACGCGAACGCCCAACTCAAGGCTGGGGCGCGACATTCATTATAACAGAAATGGCCGTTTTCACACTACAGAAGGATCATTCGTGTGAGACGGGTTATCCGTTTGATGATTCGCGTAGGATAGGTAATACGTCTTAATTTCAAAAATGGAATAGTTTTAATTTTGCAGACGGGATTATCCGTTCCAGATAGCCTGACATGTCGGTGGAGGAGGGGAGTCTTTTTCAGCCTCTTCCCCACAGACACCCCTCCCGTGGACTGTACACAGGCTAGTCTCAGACGGATGATCCATTTCTAGCTCTGAGGTGAAAACGGCCAATAACAAAAATCCCGTGTCCTGTGTTTTTAATGATAGCCAAGGACTGTACGGAACGACCGTCTGCCGTTGCCTTGCACGTAGGCCGCATTATTCCGCGCGGCTAATGCGTTTCGGGTCACGTGGTCCGAGCGAGTTCGCCACCGAAATGCCTTGACCGAGATTGCGTGGGAAGACTCCGTACAGGGACTAGGCATGACAATGTCTACCGTAGCGTCAGAGAAAAACAGGAAATGTTGTTTATCGGCAACGTGTTTTACAAACAGTGACATCTCTGCGTGTTGTTTCACTAGTGTTTCGAGGGCAAGACCTCCTGAAAATTGCAAATATTAATCCCCAGCAGGAAGCCACACTTTCGCTATGGAAAAAATTCGTTCCCCGAGAGAGCGCCGGAAATGGAGCCTAGTTCTAGGTTAACACCTAAAAGGCGCTTCCCCTAACGTGCGCACGGAGTTACACTAGTAGCCGGGAAATAAAAAAACTCAACCATAAGTGAGTTTAGTACCGTCCTTAAAAGTAGCAAATCTAGGGAACAATTTCGTTTACGGTTAACTCTTTTTAACCTTTTACGGCTAACGGTTAAATTTTTTCAACTTTTAGGGCTATCGACTAAATTTTTGGCCGTTTTACGCCTATCGGTTAACCCCATTGAGACCCTCTATTGACTCAGAGCCCATTCCATAATTGTTAAATATTATCTTCTTAAAATTTTATCGAAAAATCTACCATTCAGCCTGACCATGTTCACTATTATATGAGATAACGCTGGTAACGAGTCCCAGACCCGATTATGAAGTGTGGACATTTCAGGTTCTATAACTAATTGATGGCAAATCATGACCATGTCTATCCCGTAATTTTTTTTCTTGCTTAGTCTCTCCATATTGTAACGTCATACGATAACAAGAGCTCTGACGTCACTTATGGAAGTCGGAGCCCAGTGTCGTTCCTGATTTTTGTCCTGAATTGTGAGGTGTGCCAAAGCTTAAAACTTTCGATCCCTATTTCTAAATCAATAAGTTTTCGATTTATCCTGCTAATGGATCAGTTACCTAGTATATAATGAAAGAATGATCTTTATACGCTCTCTACTACTTTATTTACAAATTATAGTTATATCACTCTGGTTGTACTTCCTTTGCAGAGTGCAAACATGTTTTTCTCATCAGGACAGTCTGTTTTACGAAAAACCCTACTGACGGGTTTTTCAATAATGCGACAACAGGGCCCATTTTGTACCCCCAGCCTAGACAAACGTTTGCATTTCCTCACAGTTCGCTAACCCCAAGAGTTAATACAGGGAGGCGGAAGTCATATGCTTTATACTTGCTACATGTAACTCCCAATTGTCATGTTAGAGAATTTGATGATCACAAAAAAAGAATCTGATAACCCTTTCGGATGAAATATGAGACTGAATCCTAGGTTTTATTCTCATCCTAGTCGGGAGCTGATGAGGTTAAAGAAAGGTTTAATTAAGATTCGGGGGGATCTCGCAAAAAAAAACAAACAAACAAACAAACAAAGCATAAAACAAGCGCAAAAAAAAAACCAAACCGTCTATGTACACGAAGGAAGCTAGTATTAATGATGGGAGTGGCGATGGGAAAAGGCCAAAAGTATATTTTTGTCCGCTAAC